TAAAACCCTTAAATCGTTACTTAGATTTCCAAATGTTTTTGTCTTTAAGCTCAATTAAATCTTTTAGTCCTTTTATATTGTCCACTGAAGAATTAAGTGGGTTTTGTATATTTGTTAGGAATTTAGAATTAGTTATTATGTATAGATTATGAAGATTAGATTAGATTATAACCGCTTCTATAAGATACTCTATCTGTACCTCTTTATAATAAACAAGCAATCAAATCATATGGATCAAAACAAATACAGTTAAAATAAATAAACATGTTTAATATCATTTTTTTTAAACAATGCCCATCGTTTGACACAATGATTGCATATTTAAATTTAATGATGAAAACTCTAACAAGGATAATTTTTTTATAAATACAGAAAACTATGATAATTATTTCCTATAAGAGTATTTAAGATAAAAAAAAATCTTTCAATTATTTTTTTATTAAAATATTTAAAGGAAGATATTACTTAAATATTTAGCCTTATATATTTATTGTTGAATATACTTTTATTAATTATATTAAGACAATAAATTTTAATATATTAATGCCAAATGGAGTAGAAAGCCATGTCACCCTACCTGACTCACATCTGAACACAAGCCCAGCCCTATGATGGATCAGGGGTATCTCCATTTTTTTCTCTCCCTTTCCCTCCACTTCCCCCCCCATTCTCATCATTCAAATTTTTTTATTAAACAATTTTTTAAATGATAAAATTAATGAATGGTGAGGATGGAGGAAGTGAAGAGAAATGGAGATAAAAGAAATGAAAAGTCTCCACTTCCGCCCTATGATATTCTCATATGCGTTTTCTTGGATTGTGAAACACAATAGTGAAACCAAATTGATATGGAGCCAAGCCAATCTAGAGCAATGTGTAACATGTTGCTAGTGTGGAGTTGAAGGGAACTGGATCCTCTCAGATTCTCATCCCTCAGCTGCGAGAAAATCGTGACCCTTCATTCTATATCTAATATATTATATCTCATCACATCATCTTATATTAAATAATTTAATTTTAAAAATAATTTTTTACACTTCATTTCACAACTTTACATGTATTTTTATAATTTATAATGATGATTCAAGTTGATTTTCTAATTATTTTTTTTTTCAGAACTTGTTTAAAAAATTACTTTGTAGATTTTTTTGAATATAATTTTATTAAATAGGTTAAACCAGAGTTTGAAAAAACTAAACTGTATGTCTTGTTTTATATTTATGTTTTTTAAAAATTTATAGAATAGGCTTGCAGAGACTTACAGTCTAACTTATTTAAATTTTGATTTGACCTATTTAATAAAAAATGTTTGAAAAAAGTCTACAAAGTAATTTTTTTAACAAATTTTGAAAACAAAAAAATGATTAAAAAATCAACTTGAATCATTATCATAAAAAATATAAAATAGTGAAATAAAGTGTAAAAAATTATTTTTAAAATTAAATTATTTTAATATGAAATGATGTGGCAGAATATGAGATATAATAGATATATGGTGAATGTTCAGGATTCGACCCGGAGATGAAGGGAAACATGATCTTGCAACGGAATGTATTCTTAATGCCTATTAAATTTTCATCCCAGAGACAAAGAGAGACATAATTTTGCAACGAAGGACAAAACAATAAAATGTCTTGTGAAATGTACTCAATCGAGTTCTACTAAAAAAAAAATTAGGATTTAGTGAGGACTGACTTGGCAATTAATGATGTGGCTTTTTAATTTCATTTCAGCTAACATCGTTTCAAATTAGATCTGAGTTGGATAAGTTAATGATTGAGTATATGATTTTGTAAACTAGAGGGATTGACTTTTTAAAATATAAAGCCTGAGTTGAAAACTTAATGAAAGTAGAAGGGTCAGTTAATTAATTTTCTCTTGTGTATTCCTTGCAGGTAAGGGCGGAAAAGGAGCTTCCTGATTCTCAACTTCTGGCGGTGGCACCAAGTATCAGCGTTGATGGATGTACAGTGAAATATAACTATGGCATGAATCTGGCGATAAGATAGAAATAGAAAAACAAAAATAATACAAATACTATAAAATGAGGAAAATAGATAAAATAAAATCTAAAAAAAAATTAATTTTTTAATCCTCCAACTATTATCTCACTTATAATTCAGTCTCTCAATTATGACTCGCTATGACTCAGTCCCTCAACTATAACTCACTGCGCAATTCAATTTCTCAACTTTTGATTCACCTATAACTCGATCTCTATTTTTAATTTTTTTTAAATTTTTTTATTAAATAAGAAGAATAAAAAAATGCTCATATATTATTTTAAAATACCTTCTTTTTACTCATTGATGTGAAATATAAACTAATATGAAAATAAAATTAATAAAATTAAGAAATTAATTTGTAAGTGATTCAAAAATTGAAAGATTAAATTATAAAAAAAGATTGTCACATACATAGTTAAAAGATTGATTGATTATAAGTGAATTAAAATGTAGAGGATTAAAAAATTAATTTTTTTAAATCTGAAATTGAAAAACTTAAGGCGCCGTGTTGTATTGGTGGGTGGGGTGTTGAGAAATCGGGGGCTTTCCTGTACTCTCTCCTTCTCTCTCATTGTCTGCTCGTCCTTCGATAGATCTGTAAGTTAAGTTTTTTTTGTAGGAATTTCTGCTTTCCGGCCGCACTGTCTGTGTTTGATTGAGGCACAAGCTTGCACTTTGTGGTTCTGGGCATGGTTGGAAATCAGCAATTCAGTCATACTTATGGTTCAAGTTATTCAGTGGATACAATCAATTAAATTCTTCTAGTTCCTTCAGATCAGTCTCATTGAACAAGATTAAGCCATAGTCATGGTTTATGGCTAATGGAACTGTTGAACTCCATAGCTTTGCCCCCAGTACGGACATTGTTCAGCAGTTTAATCATTCGAATACAAAATTTGATGAACATAAAGATTTTTCAGATCATTATGCTGAAAGTCAGAAGCCCACTAGCTTTTCTCAGCAGTCATTCCAGGTTGGACATAACTTTTCTTATGCCTCTCATGTTGGAAGATCATCTGCTGGACGTCCTCCTCATGCTCTTGTAACTTTGGATTTGGTGGAAAACTCATTGTCATGAAAGATTCTAGTCTTCGGAGCTCATCATATGGAAGCCAGGTTAAATTTGGATTCCTCTGTTCAGTTTCATCTTTCATTCTATACATCATTTTATACCTGAAATGCTTGGGAGGCTTTGCCTTTTGGATTTCTTGTGTTTGAAATTGTATCTTTTGGTCATTTCTTTTTTAGTAGTGATTCCTCAGAGCAATAACACTTTGTACTCTTTCTAATCTGAAGGATACTGCACGAGGCTCTATTTCTGTGTTAAACTTGATGGATGTTGTCTTAGGAAACACTGGTTCTACCAGCATCGGAAATTCTGCTAGTGATTATTTCCGTGTTCTGTGCCAGCAATCTTTCCCCGGTCCATTAGTTGGGGCAAGTGTGGAAGTAAAGAACTGTTCAAATGGATAGATGATAGGATTGCACACTGTGAATCACCTGACGTGGATTACAAGAAAGGTGAAAGGTTGAGATTACTTTTCTCCTTGCTTAAAATAGCTTGCCAGCATTACGGAAAACTGCGTTCTCCTTTTGGTACAGACACTTTACTAAAAGTAAGATACATCTCCAACCTTTTAGCTTCAAATTCTTTTTCATATCCGTGCTGTGCTATTTTAGTTGAATCTGCTATCCTTTCTTCGATTGACCAAAATACTGAGAACTGTAGTGTGCATGAGATTAACTGCAACCCTAATTAATGTTAATTTTGTGCTATGTTTTATGGATGTATATTGTGAATCGGGTTGCCGACCAAAAAAAAAAATAAAAATTCCCACCATCTTTATTGGCTATCTTTCAGTATTTTTATTATGATATTGTGGTTGATATGTAATTATTATTATTATTATTATTTTGTATATTTCAGAATCTTGTCTTTTTGGAGTGGTTTATGATTGCCATGCATCATGACTGTTTTATCTTGTTCTTTCATACTGGATTAAAAGACCATTCTTGGGGCATTATGGGAAATTAGGCTCTCACTTGTATTAGGATATCAATGAGACATCGTAGCGGACATGAGATCTCCTCCTCCTTCTTTGTACAAATAAGAACTTGATGGGTACTTAAGTGGGATGGAGAACTCTACCCTAAAAGTTAGCTGTTGAGGTGAAAAACCTAATTCACTTATGTATCCCATATTACTCAATGTGGGACTTAGTATCCCATACCATCAAGTCTCTATCAATTGGCCCCACCATGGAAAGCCAACGTCTTGGTAGCTACATTCCATGGCAAACATAACTCGATCTCCTTTCGATCAGAACCTTTCGTGGGTAGCCTTCTTTGGAACTGCTGACAACGAGGTTTTGATATCAATTGATGGGTGCCCAAGTGGGATGGGGAACCTAACTCTAAAAGCTAACTGTTGAAGTGGAAGAACTCACTCACTTATTTGCCCCATTGAGTGTCTCATACTACTTCATGTAAGACTTGGTATCCTGTATTACCAAGTTTCCATTAGAACTTTTGCTTCTTCTTCTTCTTCTTTTTTTTAATGCTTTTTGTGGTGCATTATTGCAGGTAAGTCAATAATTTATTTAGTTTCTATAACTGTTTTGAGTGATTTGAGCAAATTCATGAATGTCATGATTAGACTTTATTAATCAAACCTCATTGATTGTTTGTGGTTCTTGGTCATATTCTTGTCATAATACTATTTCTCAAGAGATGCGTGGTCCCTGCTCTACCTGTTGACCTATTGGTTCTGTATGATACAGGAAAATGATGATCCTGAGTCAGCAGTGGCGAAACTCTTTGCATCTGCCAAGATGAGGGGCGCAGAGCTCTCTCAGTATGGTGTGCTGAGCCACTGCTTGCAGAATTTCCCTTCTGAAGGACAACTACGGTGTGAATCTTGTCAACTCCTGAACCTTTTCCTTCCCCTTAGATTTTTAAATCAGTTTCTTTTAACTGATTTGGATTTTGACATAGGCAACGGCTTCTGAGGTGCAAACTCTTCTTGTCTCTGGCAAAAAGAAGGAGGCTTTGCAATGTGCACAAGAAGGTCAATTGTGGGGACCTGCTATTATTCTTGCCTCACAACTAGGTGATCAGGTCAGCTGTCTATTTTTTATGTTGAAAACTGCTACTGATGCTGAAATATATTATTACCAGACAATCTCTTATTATGTCTTACTGTGTTTTCTAACCCTGCCATGACTGGGGGTTTAAAGCTGGGTGCATGTTTGCAATGCAGTTTTATGTTGATACGGTAAAGCAAATGGCACTTCGCCAACTGGTTGCAGGATCTCCTTTGCGTACATTATGCCTTCTAATTGCAGGGCAACCAGCTGAAGTTTTCTCTGCTGATACCTCTGTCGGTGGACATCCTGGAGTCACTAATGTACCTCAACATCCTGCACAGGTGATCTAAATAGAATGATCTTATAAGCCATGGGAAGACTAGCAATCATGATATTACACTTATGGTTTGATAATGGTGAAGATTCTTGTTTTTTTTTTTTTACTTGAACAACTCAAAATTTTTCTCTTTGCTACACAATTTTAGGTTGGATCTAATGGTATGCTTGATGGTTGGGAGGAGAATCTGGCTGTAATAACTGCAAACAGAACAAAAGATGACGAACTTGTTATCATTCATCTTGGTGATTGTCTGTGGAAGGAAAGAAGTGAGGTATAATTGTTCTCAATCTTGTTCTTTTTCTGCTTAAAGACACATGCTCGCTTTATTTTTATGAAGAGGTTCTCTTTATTCTGCTTCTGATTGGAGGCTCATATCTTAGATTACTGCTGCACACATTTGCTATTTAGTTGCTGAAGCCAACTTTGAGTCGTACTCAGATAGTGCAAGATTGTGTTTAGTTGGAGCAGATCACTGGAAATTTCCCCGAACTTATGCTAGTCCAGAGGCTATCCAGGTTCTTTGAACTTTTATTGACCCCCAAAAAAAATTTGGATTTTCTGTTGAATGTGCACGTTTTGGACTTTGATATTTTACGTTATGCTTATAGCTTTCTCTCTCTCTCTCTCTCACTCTCATGTGCACGCACATGCTCACATATTCATTAATCCCCTGATGAATTAACTGCTTGTGGTGGAAAATAGCATTTACATCTCCTGAATAGTTTTATCTTAAAATCAATGTGATAGGTTTTTTCTATCAATCATCTATATAGGCTAGTAAATAAAAATTTTAGTGGTAGCTCACTTGTGCCACCTCATTATATCTGGCTTTCCAAAACAAAAAATAATAATGTTCAATATGATTCAATATGTGCTTCTGGAACACTCTAATTTATCTTTCCTTATGGGTACTTTCACAGAGGACTGAGTTATATGAATACTCCAAGGTGCTCGGAAACTCTCAGTTTATTTTACTTCCATTTCAACCATATAAGCTCATATATGGATATATGCTAGCTGAAGTGGGGAAAGTTTCAGACTCATTAAAGTAAGTTTGTAGAACATAATGTGATGTTATGTTTTGTATATTCTGTCTTCTCATGTGCATGTGACTTCAGATATTGCCAGGCAGTGTTGAAATCCCTAAAATTTAGCCGAGCACCAGAAGTTGAGAATTGGAAACAATTGGTGTTATCTCTTGAGGAAAGGCTTAGAGCCCACCAGCAAGTAATTTCTTGCCCTTAATAGAATTTTCACCATTTGGTCACTGGACGGCCTTGTTTCTTTTTAATCTAAGAATAAATTTACAGGGTGGATATGCTGCAAATTTGGCTCCTTCAAAATTAGTGGGCAAATTACTGAACTTTTTTGATAGTACTGCTCATAAAGTTGTTGGCGGTCCACCACCACTTGCTTCTTCATCATCATTACATGGAAGTGTTCACGGAAGTGAACAACATCACAGCATATAGCACCAAGGGTATTCAATAGTCAATCAACAATGGCCATGTCTTCATTAGTTCCCTCTTCAATGGAACCAATAAGTGAGTGGACAGCTGATGGTAATAGAATGACTAAGCCTAATAGAAGCGTTTCAGAACCAGACCTTGGTAGGAGACCTAGACAGGTGTGATTACTTCTTTAAGGTCTACACTGAGGATTCTCTGCTTGCTCTATGTTGTGTTATATTTCCTTTCATTTATGCATTGGAACTTGATGGGGAAAAAAATCATATTGATTCGTCACAGGAAGCAGCCTCACCTGATGCAGGCAAAGCATCAGTTTCAGGGGGTACATCTCGATTTTCTCGTTTTGGTTTTGGCTCACAGCTGTTCCAGAAGACAGTGGGGCTCTTGAGACCACGTTCTGGTCAGCAGGTATCATTTATGCATGTCATGTTTTTACATGTTGACGCTTTATGTATTCAACAATTCTTTGACAGTACTTATTTAAATGTTTTTTGTCCTGTGGAACTATGTGAAGGCTAAACTGGGTGAGGAGAACAAATTTTTATGATGAAAAGCTGAAGAGATGGGTAGAGGAAGGTGCTGAACCTCCAGCCGAAGAAGCTGCACTGCCACCACCTCCAACAGCTGCTGCTTTCCAGAGTCCTAAACCTGAATATGACTTGAGATCTGCATTGAAGACAGAAGGATCGCTCTCAAATGAGGGCCCTGATTTAAGAACTTCCAATTCTGAACATGCTTCAGGGATCCCACCTATGCCACCTACCTCAAATCATTTTTCTTCCCGTGGACGCATGGGTGTTCGTTCAAGGTAACAGCTTTGAATCTTCTTATGGTCATGTTGTAGTTGGCAGCTAGGATCTGTTTTGTTATGATTTGTCTATATCGTTTACTGAATTCTTCTTTTGTTACTCTATTTAAGAGAATGGGAAATTGAAGAATCTTCAGATGCAGTTTGTTTTATCCAGTCTAAGTTATATTTAACTAAATTGAATAAGCAATTTGGTGCTGGTTCTTCTGTGTAGCCAACTCATTTCCAGAAACAAGTGAAAGGGTTTCTTATCCATGATTTGTTAGTCTTTAACAGCATTGAAAAGGCCAATAAACTTGTCAAAACTGCTTGCGGTCCATGCAGGTATGTTGATACCTTCAATCAAGGAGGCGGAGCCTCTGCAAATCTGTTTCAGTCTCCTGTTCCATCTGTCAAGCCAGCTCTTCCTACCAACGCAAAATTTTTTATCCCTGCGCCTGCACCTTCATCAAATGAGCAGACAATGGAATCTACAGTAGAAAGCAATAGAGAAGACAGTGCAGCTAATGATGATCCATCAACATCTGTCATGCATGAACCATTCCAATCCCCCAATACAACATCATCCATGGGCATGCAGAGGTTTCCTAGCATGAGCAACATCTCAAACAACGGAGCAATGCCAAACGGCATTCATTCTCAAAACCTTCATTCACGTCGAACAACCTCATGGGGTGGTGGAAATTTTGCTGATTCATTTAGCCCTCCAAAGGTTGGTGAAATTAAGCCTCTTGGGGAAGCTTTGGGCATGATGCCATCAAGCTTTACGTCAGATGAGCCTTTAATGCGTCACAATGGGAGCTTTGGTGAAGATCTCCACGAGGTGCAACTTTAAACAGATTATGCCGCTGTAAATATCAAATTTTGTTTTAATCAACAGAATAGATGAGACTCTGCTTCTGCATACAAGAATAGTGGGATACATCAAGCGGAGTTCATGAAGAAGCAGAAGTCCTTTTTTCTGCCGCCCACCCTTCCCATTTTTTTTTATTTTTTTTATACATATTTTGTTAATTTTTTTGGGTTCTCAACACCTAAATGGCGATGTATGATTGATTGTGGTTGGCTGACATGATATTAGAATGTTTGATTTTACATGCCAAGGGAGTTGGGCCACCATCTCACGCATAAGGAACTAGTGTTCTACTGCAGAGGGGGGGATTGAGGGCCTGTTTAGGTGGGTAGTACAGTTATTTTGTTCATTTTATTAAAATTACACAAATGTCCCTCGAGGAAAAGATGGCCTCAACAGATCAAGGACAAAAGGCTTAGTGTATGAAATTGTGAAAAATAAAGCTTGTACCTTCTGAATTTGTTTCATTTATGAAATTGGATTAAACTCATGAATTTAGAGTCTTCATTCTTTATTTGAAATGTTCTACAGCAATCTCCCGCAATTTCAGTGGTTGCCTGTGAAAGGACGATTTTATATGTTTTTCCCCTAGAGGATTTAGATCTTGAATGTGTGAGTTCTTTCCTGTTGGGGACATAATTGTCCCTTTGGATGCGAATCAAATGTGACTTTTCATTTTAGATGCTAACTTTCCTTAACAAAAAGCAAAAAAATTGATCAAATCTTTAACAATAGCTTAACTGAGCATTTTCTTAATCTTGAAAAATATTTTTCAAAGAGAGAATGTTCTTTCTTCCCAACAATAGCCAAATAAGCTGGACTTAGCAAGCCAATCTTGTACATATAATTCAGAAAGAATAAGGATCAATTACTTTCAACTTTTATACGCACTCGTAACGTGCAAATGAAAACAAAGCATGGTATATGACATTTTTATTCCTTCAAAAAGAAAATCAATAAAAGGAAAAAAAAGATAAGAGTTTTCTCTCTCTTGGGAACCGTGTCATTTGTGTTTTCCTCACATGATGGAAGACTCTGGCCTCCGAAAGGTGCCTCTTGATCAGCCTTCTAGTGTAGTGACTTCTGCTAATCGGAAAAAAGCAAAAAAAAATAGGGCAAGATAAGGAGAAAGGGGACCTCGTTCCAAAATCCTAGATTCTTGCATGGATGAGAAAATGAATGACCATGATGAAGAACCAGAAAAAATGCAGAAAGCAGAACCTGGGAGCAAAACTCCCCAAGCTATAATGGAATCACAGGTACACCAGAGGCATATAGATTGATTGCTGTACACCTCAGAGTACACCGGTGAATCAGAAAGTTTCCTATAAAGCCTCGCCAATGGGTTTCAACAGAGTAGCAAACAACGACTACATTCATGAGGATGATACGCTGATGCATGAGGACAGGACCCTGAATGGAAATTACCAAAACCTTCTGAGGAGATGAAGGAGCTCATGAAGATATATCCAATCGTGCCTATCACACAGGAGGAATTTCAAGAGTGGTGCAAACCATGGAATAATGCCTTAGTGATCACGCTTTTGGGTAAAAGGTTAATGTTAGCGGAATTTAGAGCTCGTCTTGAGAGACTATGGGGATTCACTAGCTTTGAAATTGTGGATTTACCGAATAACTACTATTCTGTTCGTTTCTTGGATAAGGATAACTGGACGATACATTACAAGTGGGTTTTTCATGAAGGTCCCTGGGTAATATCCAACCATTATGTTCTGGTACAAAAATGGTCTTCTTATTTCGATCCTTTCAATAACTCTTTAAGTAGAGTGGCAGTCTGGGTGAGAATTCTTAATATTCCCATGCATTGCTATAATAAAAATTTTATCAGTTGGCTGGGGAATTGTATAGGACGAACGCTCAAGGTAGACATGAATACTTTATCAGATTCTTTATTGGCTTTAGCAAGACCAGAGAGGGGCAGGTTTGCCAGGATCTGTGTTGAGCTTGATTTACAAAAATGTCTGGTCCCTCAAGTTATTTGTGCCTGCAAATTATTTAACGTCATTTACGAAGGTTTGAACTTGGTGTGTTTTGAATGCGGACATTATGGACATAGGAAGGAAAACTGTTCGTGGCAGAGGTCCATAAGCTCTCAAGTGTTCAAATCACCGATAGTAAAGAGTCCTTCAGTTGACACCAACACCCCGTTGAAAAACAAGCCACCGGTTTCGGGGGAGATATTTGGTACTTGGATGATCGACCCTTGATCTACAAAGCATCAGTTTTTGAGGAGGGAATACCCAAAGGAGCTACAGAAAGATCAGGGGAAGAGGATGACTGCTGTCAATAAAGGTAGCACACACCTACACCAGTTGAGATTTGCTGCGATCGCCAACCTAGATATGGACGAAATGGCAGAGATTGATGGAAGTCATTTCATCGAGAAGGAAAATAATGGTGTGACAAATATTTCCATAAGGCAACCAGAGATGGAAATAAGAAAGGCTTTAAGCTACCCCAAGATAAACCAGACCAGTGGCAGCCTTGCTTCTCGGATACATACACACAATCTTCCTAGGTCAAGCCCTAAAATGCTGGGGAAGGAGAACCTCTTACCTAAGCAATAGAGTAGAAAGGTTTATTGATTAATAGTGAGGGGTGCATGCCTAAGCCCATTCCACATCCAAATGGACCAGAAGAGAGTGTGGGTCATCCTAATACAAGTCTCAGACAGCATGTTGTGATACAAGGCTCTGTTAGCAAAATGGGCTCAAATTCTTCGAGCCCAATTCTAGTCCAGAATTCTCAGTCCACTGTTGGCATACATAATAAAGTCGGGGAGGCTACTTCTTTGCCTAATTTGACTCTACCTCCTACAGTTCATGTCAGAAATAGGTTGTTATCCGTGAACCACAACTTAAAGCCTCCTGACCCACCCAGATCAACAAAAGGCAGTGTGGAAGATTATGCACAGCTTGTGCCTGGAAATCAGGCGTGCACAATGCCGGTAGAGAAACCTGAATCTCAAGAGGCTATCTCTGATGTGTAAGCTCTGCTGTTATCACTTCCTTTTATCATTATTTTTTAATGATTATTGTGAGCTGGAATTGTAGAGGAGTGGGAAGTGGAATTTTGCGGGCCTTATCAAAGACATTGTTAGAAAATATAAGATTGATGTACTTTGCCTTCTTGAAACAAGAGTAAGCGGCAACCAAGCAGATAAAATTGTTAGATTTTTAGGATTTAGCAACTGGATCCGGGTAGAGGCAACTAGCTATGTGGGTAGTATTTTGGCTCCTTTGAAATTCAAATGTCGTTTCTATTACCTATCTGTCCTCCAACGTCCAACTTCTATATATGTCATATTCAGAATAAGGCAAACTCTGACACGTTCCTTTGTACCTTTGTACATGGGGAACCATACTATCTCAGACATAGGGACCTTTGGGCATCGATTAAAGCTCTTGCCGATTCTATCAATTGTGAATGGATAGTTTTGGGAGACTTTAACTCTTTTCTATCCCCTAAGGACAAATTTAGGGGGTAGTCTAGCTAATGTGCAAGAATGAGTTATTTTCTAGATTGCATTCAAGAGTTAAAGCTGTTTGAGTTACCTTTTGTGGGAGACTGATATACATGGCTGAGAAGAGACGTTCATGAACGTCTAGATTGGGTCTTCTGCAATAGTTTGTGGGAGGAAACTTACCCTCTGGCTAAAGTTTTCCATCAGCTGAGATTCAAATTAGACCATAGACTTATTATGACTGCGGATGAGGTCAATGGTGATGAAGCTAATGGAAGGAGCCCATTTAAATATCATGCAGCCTGGGCATTAGAGGAAGGTTTTGGGGACCTAGTCAAGAATGCCTAGTTTGGCAAATCATGGCTTGATAGTCTTACTTCTTTTTAACAGGAGGCTGATGAGTGGAATCATAAAACTCTTGGAAACATTCCGAAATGGAAAAGGGAAATTATTAGGAGGTTAGAAGGTATTGACAGATCAAGACTTTCAAGGAACAAGACTGGTCTTTTCCATATCGAACAAAAGCTTTGGACCAAATATCAAAAACTCGCAGCCTAGGAAGAGTTAATTTAGTTCCAAAAAGCTCGCTGCAAGTGGCTTCAATGAAGGGATAAAAATTCTAAAATTTTTCATGCCTCAGTCAAAGCATGGCACAAGCACAATAATATAGATGCTCTTCAAAATGAACAGGGAGATGATTCAGATCAGTCTATCCTGCAGAACATGGCAAGTGACTTCTTCAACCATATTCCTTTAAAACTACCTTTCACTTTGTCACATCTTGGCCTACAAACTTTCCTCCTCTTTTAGTTATTTCAGATTTGTGCAATTCAGCGAGAGGTATCTGACACTGAAATTAAAAATATGGCTTTCTCTATTAGTGCCTTTAAAGCCCCAAGGCTGGATGGTATTTCTGCGCATTTGTTCCATACCCAAGTGGAGCCTCAAGGTCGCAGATTGATTTTCTTTTGGTTAGGAACCAGATAGAAAACTTTGTAAAAATTGTAAGGTGATCCCGGAGATGCTGTAACGACACAACACAGGGTCCTAGTCCTTGATGTGTGTATTATGAGTAAAAATCCAAAACGTCGACAAGTAGTAACACCAAGGATTAGGTGGTGGCAATTAAAAGGTGAGAAGCAAGATATTTTCAAGAAAAATCTTTTGGATAAAGGAATTTGGGATTCTCAGGGAAGTGCTAACATCATATGGGAGGATATGGCTAAAAAGATACGGGAGGTTGCAAAAGTAGTTTGGGAGAATCGAAAGGTTCTGGTCCGAGAGATAAGGAGTCTTGGTGGTGGAATAATAGTGTACAGGACAAAATCAAGTATAAGAAGACTGTTTTAAAGCCATACATTTGTGTAACAATGAGGAAATTGGGAGAGGTACCGTATGGCTAAGAAGGAAACTAAGAGAGCTGTGGGTGAAGCTCGTTCCAAAGCTTTTGAAGAATTTTATAAGAACCTTGAGACGAAGGAAGGAGAGCAAAATATTTATAAGATTGCCAAGAGTAGGGAAAGAAAATCAAGAGATCTAGAACAGGTAAGGTGATTAAGGATGAAGAGGGAAGAATTTTAGTTACAGATGATGAAATTAAAAATAGATGGGAGACTTATTTTTCTAAACTTTTTCAATGATGGAGAGGATTCATCTAGTAACTTGGAGGATTTTTAACTGGTGAAGGAGAACAAAATTTGTCATTCTATCGAAAAATACGTGATAAGGAGGTAAAGGAAGCTCTTAAGAAAATGGCAAATGGTAGAGCTAACGGACCTGATTGTATATCTATCGAAGCGTGGAAATGTTTAGGTGAAGAAGGGGTGAGATGGTTAACTAAGTTATTTAATGTGATTTACGGTCCAAGAAAATGCCTGATGAGTGGAGGAGAAGTACATTAATTCCTATTTATAAAAATAAAGGAGATATTCAAATTGTACTAACTATAGAGGGATTAAACTCATGAGCCACACAATGAAATTTGTGGGAGAAGTAATTGAGCAAAGGTTGAGATTGGAGACAAGTATTTCTGAGAATCAATTTGGTTTATGCCAGGTAGATCAACTACAGAGGCGATTTATCTATAAGGGGATTAATGGAAAAGTATCGTTGTAAAGATAAAGATCTACACATGGTTTTTATTGATTTGGAAAAAGCTTATGACCGTATACCAGAGAAGTGCTTTGGAAAGCGTTGGAAAAAAAAGGGAGTACGGATTGCTTATATTAAGCCATACAACGATGTATGAGGGGGTAAAAACTAGTATAAGAACGCCTAGTGGTCAAACAAAGGATTTTCCTATAAAGATTGGACTACATCAGGGATCATCTCTGAGTCCTTATTTGTTCAACTTGATTTTAAATGTTTTGACGGAACATATTCAAGAGGAAATCCCGAAATGTATGCTCTTTGCGGATGATATAGTTTCTTATAGCAGAGACAAGAGAAAGAGGTTAACTGGGCTCCCAAAATGCCAGTTTGTTAAAGAGGTCTTTTTGACCCGGATAAGATTAGGGTATACAACCAGACCAATATCATGCTTATCCCTAAAGTTGATTTTCCTAATTCCTTGAAGGATCTCCGACCTATCTCTTTGTGCAATGTTTGCCTCAAGATAGTGACCAAAATTCTTGCCAACAGACTACGTGTGCACTTTGACCATTTAATCTTACCTAACCAATACAGGTTCATCCCCGGTCAGCATAGCAATGACAATATTATCCTAGCACAGGAGGCTCTTCATACTATAAGGTATAAATCTGGACAGAAAGGATATATGGCTTTGAAGATTGATCTGAAAAAAGCCTAGAACTGTCTAGAATGGTCTTTTATAGAGGACACTCTTACAAGCTTGGGTCTGGGACCTTCCTTTATCAATATAATAATGAAGTACATCTCTACAGCCACTACAATGGTCCTTTAGAACGGGACAGAAACTGAAGCTTTCTCTCCAACAAGAGGAATACGACAGGGCGATCCTCCGAGTTAATATCTATTCGTCTTATGTATGGAAAGACTTGGACAACTAATTCAAAGAGAGTGTAATAATAGAAGATGGAAACCTATCAAATTCAGTGTCAATGGTCCCCACCTTTCACACCTCTTTTTTGTCGATGACCTTATCCTTTGTTGTGAAGCCTCCACTTCTCAAGCAGCTCTTGTTAGGGATGTTTTACACAGGTTTTATTTTATCTTGGGACATCGAGCTAATTTACTAAAATCTAAGATCTTTGTCTCCAAAAATGTCTACTTTAATAGAAGCTTGGAGCTCAGCCACATATTGGGTATTGGCCTTACTTTATATTCAGGGAAATACTTAGGTATTCCACTAATTCATAAAAGAGTCACTAAAGTAATGTTCTCACCCATCCTCACAAAGGTTCATCAACGTCTTTCCTTCTGGCAGAGCAGATTCCTAAGCATAACAGGGAGAACTACCCTGATTAAGGCCGTTCTATCTGCTATGACCTCGTATCACATGCAAACAAATCTCTTACCATTTGGGGTATTGAAGGAGGTAGAGAAACTCTATCAAATCTTTCTTTAGAGTCAACAACTAGAAAAAAGGAAAATCCATCTGATTACTTGGGATACCATGAAACAGACTAAACTAGAAGGAGGGCTAGGCATTAAAGATGTTAAACGCCAGAACACTGCTTTCATTATGAAACTCTGTTGGGCCTTAATCACGAAATCATATGTGATGTGGGTTAAATGCCTAAGGACTAAATATAAGTGTGGAGAGAACAACATGCCTTTTGTCATCAGAAAGAGGAGGTTATCTGTAACTTGACATAGCATTTGCGATGTTTAGGAAACATTCAAAGTAGGTGTGGGTCAGAAAATCAATAACGAGCGAAACACTAAGTTTTGGTGGGATCTTTGGTCGCCTCTAGACCAAGCTCTAATCCACTATGTAACACGCAATGAGAGTAGCCTTAATCCTATCGATACTGTTGCTGATTTTGTGTTGCCCTCTGGAATATAGGATGTAAACAAATGCCTTCTATTTCTCCCATGAGAGGTTGTTAATAAAATTCTCAATGTTCGTGTACCAATAGGAAATAACCCGAATGTGTTTTGTTAGCAGGAGTCTGGAGATGGCTCTTTCTCTGTGAAGTTAGCTTATCAGTTTATCCATCATCCTGATAGAGGCCTGCCTAATAGCTTCCTAAAGAAACTTTGGCACTGGTCCCTTCCAGAAAGGATTAAATTCTTCCTATGGCAAGCTTCTCAAGAGAGGATCCTCACTAATTCTCTGAGAGTCAAGAGGGGTTTAGTCGAGAGAAACACTTATGTTTTTTAGTGTAACTGTGAAGAGAGTGTTATTTATATCTTGAGGGATTGCTATAAGGCAAAAATTTTCTGGAACCATTAACTTAACCGTAATCTCTCTTCTATGTTTTTTGACATGAGTTTATAGGGTTGGCTTAGGAATAACATAACAAACTCTTTTGGAAATGTAACTTTCAGCAAATGGCCATGGTTTATAGTTTTTAGTCATAGTTGCTGGCTACTTTGG